AAAAAAAAAAAAAAAGAAAAAGAAAAAAAGAAATGCCAAGTCAAGTCATTTTTAAAATGTGACCATAAAATCAAAATATTCAGATGCAAGGAGGGGAAATCAGGTAACAGTAATCACTACTGGTATCCAGAGTAGAATTATTAAAGGAGAGAAGTCCATGTCTCCATAACCAACCACTGAGTTAAAGGAACACCCTGGGAAAATTACTTTCCCCTTGAGGCCTCAGTCTCCCTGTGTATGGAATCAGTGAGCACTAGGCAAAGTGGTGGGCTTGTGTTTTGGAGCTGAGCTCTTCATCAGGCATACAGGTACTCAAACTCTCTATCTCTCTTTTTCTTTTTTTTTTTTCTTTTTTTTTCTTTGCGTTATGCGGGCCTCTCACTGTTGTGGCCTCTCCCATTTGCGGAGCACAGGCTCCGGACGCACAGGCCCAGCGGCCATGGCTCACGGGCCCAGCCGCTCCGCGGCATGCGGGATCCTCCCGAAACGGGGCACGAACCCGCGTCTCCTGCATCGGCAGGCGGACTCTCAAGCACTGCGCCACCAGGGAAGCCCCTATCTCTCTTTTTCTTAATTGTGGTAGAAAACACATGACATAAAATTTACCATCTTAACCATTTATAAGTGTACAGTTCAGGGGTAAGTATACCTTATTGTTATGTGACCAATCTCCAGAATGCTTTCATTTTGCAAAAGTGAAACTCTGTCCCCATTAAACACTAAGTCCCCGTTCACCTCTCCCCCCAGTTCCTGGCAACCACTCTTCTACTTTCTGTCTCTATGAATCTGACTACTCTATGTACCTCATATCAGTGAAATCATATGGTATTTGTGCTTTTGAGAGTAACTTATTTCACTTACCATAATGTCCTCAAGGTTCATCCCTGTCATATAGCATGAGATAGGATTTCTTTATTTTTTTAAGCTGAATAATATTCTACTGGATGTGTGTGTATCACATTTTGTTTATCCATTCAACAGTCAATGGACAACTGAGTTGCCTCCACCTCTTGGCTAATGGAAAAACGCGGCTATGAACATAGGTGGGCAACACACAGGTTCTCTTTTTTTTTTTTTTTTTTTTTTTTGTTCTCACTGTTGTGGCCTCTCCTGCCGCGGAGCACAGGCTCCGGACGCGCAGGCTCAGCAGCCATGGTTCACGGGCCCAGCCGCTTCGCGGCGTGTGGGATCTTCCCGGACCGGGGCACGAACCCGTGTCCCCTGCATCGGCAGGCGGACTCTCAACCACTGCGCCAGCAGGGAAGCCCCAGGTTCTCTTTTAACACAATATTTACACTGATTGCAGGGAGATGCTTTCAGTTTGACAGGAACACAGAAATTCACGCAGAGGAAGGAAACCATAGATTCACATCTCCCGAATCCTGCTGAGATGGGGAAGGAAAGAGATATTTGCTTGCTAAGGGCAATGGCAGGCTGTAGACTTCACATTTTTAGTTTTAGGTCTTTTTTTCTTTTTAGATGCCTACATGATGTGACTTCTTTGTAATGACTAAATATTAAGCCTTTTGATGCTCTGAATGAAAGCCTCAGCTGGCAGAAAAAGCATTATCAGCTGCCTCAATGTAAAACTGTCCCCAAACACTTACAGTTCAAACACAGCAGCCCAGTCTGGAAGGAAAAGTAAATGGGTAAGACCAGCTCCATGCATTCCAATAAATATGTCCGTGTTATGCGTGATCCTTAGCTGATCTAAAAACCCAAGTTCCCTGTGAGCATAAAGAATAACAAAAGAAAAAAGGAGAGGAGAGGGAAAGTATTAAATTGCGTGGAGCTCATGATTCATGGCAACAGCGTTCATACAAGTATCTTTCCCAATTTAAAGCACATTCTGCCATGATATTTTTTTGCCAATTTCAAATCTACTCCAGAAATTAACAACTGAATTACTTAATAACATTTTCTCTAAGTTAAGTTCACTTTTTTTTAAGCTTACATTTTCTTATTTTAGAAGAAAACTTTTATACCTGTCTTAAATGGAAAACCAGTAACTCATGACACGAACAAAACTGTAAAAATAGATATAATGGAACTAAAAAGCATTATTCCAATCTAGGTAGATAACAGTGCAAGGCAGAGCTCTGAGCCTGAGGCTTGCTCCCTCTTTATGAAAAATGAAATTAGCAAGCATTAAAGTGATGTTATGATATATTCGTACCAAAATGAAAACTATTTCCTTAAAATCATATAGGAATTTTTACAAAATAAAATAAATTCTTCCTTGTGTGATTTGAGTCATTCGATTACCATCTGGGTACTCCTAAGATTGTCTTGGATGCCATGAGGGCATTTTCCTGTCTTTGTGGGTTTATGAGGGATAAATCCACAATTTTATGCACCTTGGGACTGTAAAAGTAGTCTTTGAATTCAAGACACTAAAAGATGTGCAAACTCTGAACCGAAAGTCATTGAGTCTGGGAAGAAATGCTGGACAGAGGCTAACACTCTGAATAAACATAATGGAATCCGATCTCCCAGTCCCACCCACTCAAAGTGAAGAAAAATAAATAGGTCCGCTTGCATCTAAGAAGGGAAAGCAAATTTCCTCTTAATCAGCTTCACCTCTTTAAAGAGCTTCCTCTCCCAGCAGAACAGAAACCCCACACTCCGCACAAGGGAAGGGAGACAAAGCCACCAAGTGTGTCTCACACGAGGTACACGTGCCTCAGTTTCCCCAGCAATGCCAACCGATACCGAGGCAAGGAGGGGCATTTGTCCGGGGGAATATATCCGTGGAGTTATTATTTCTGGGAAAGGCCCAAAGGTCAGGACTCACAAACCTCGATGCCGTTAGGTTACTACTGTGTCCCTCAGATTGGCGAGGTCTGAATTTACTGTCACTCTTCCTTCATCGGGGAAACCCCTACGTATTCTTCAAAGCCAGTCAGCGACAGAGCCTCAGAGGTGCACCCCCCGCCCCCAGTTCTTTCATCCTGACCCCAGGCCCTCTTCTACCTCAGGTGGCAACGAGGGGGGGGGGTCACCGTGGCGAGGTGTCACCCGTCCAATAGGAATAGCTTTGCCAACCTCACAAGACTCTCAGAAGAGGGAGATGAGACAGAGCTAGGGAAGCATAAGTCTCAATAAATGACAGCTGTTCTTGCAACTGCTAGTTATTCATATTCAGTGTCTGAGGTCCTCAAGACAAGAGCCATGCTTCCTCCATAACTGCATTCCTACTGCCAATTCCTGGTGACCGGCCCATGGTAGGTACCTGATAAAGATGTGTTGTATAAATGAACAAATGTATAATGAATGAGGTGCAAAGCTCCCACACTTACCAATAAGTTTAAACCTAGCTGTGTCAGGCACCCTATGCTGGTATATGTATACTTTTTTTTATACATAGAAAAAAACTGTTTGGAAAACAAGACTACGATTGTGGGTGGGCAAAGGAGGGAGTGAAAAGTTTTCACTTTCCTTTGGAACTTTTCTATACTGCTTGACCTTTTCTACCAGGAACATGTATTATTTTTACAGTATTATTGTTTTCATGTCAGCACGGGTTACCTAGACAGTAAATGATAGGCAGATTCTGTCTTTCCAAGCTGTTTACTTGTATCAGAATTTTAAAAGAAATGTAATATTTTAAAAGATTTTTAGAAGCCTCATATTATTTGATGAACCTCAAATTATTCCCTTAATTATTCCCATAGAGTAGGTCAGAAGTTGAAACCCAGCAGCTAGCAGGCAAATGAAGCCTACAACCTTTTTTTTTTTTTTTTGCGGTACGCAGGCCTCTCACCGCTGTGGCCTCTCCCGTCGTGGAGCACAGGCTCCGGACGCGCAGGCTCAGCGGCCATGGCTCACGGGCCCAGCCGCTCCGCTGCATGTGGGATCTTCCCGGACCGGGGCATGAACCCGCGTCCCCTGCATCGGCAGGCGGACTCTCAACCACTGCACCACCAGGGAAGCCCTACAACATTTTTTTTTAAATTCGGAATTAGTTACCGACTTTTAGAAATTCAGAAATTTCAAATGAAAATCAGGATTCATCACTTCTCTTTAAAAAAGGGATGGCGCGGCAACATCAGGCCCCTCACAGCTGAAGAGCTTCCAACCCCTACGGCCGGGGTCCTCACCTGCCCATTTCATTCACCGATGGCGTCCGCTTGTCCCTTCCAGGTCTACATGCGCCAACAACTCCCGTTCGCAAAGCCCTTCCGCTCCCCCATTAACTCATCAAAGCCAAAGACGACAGTGTCTGCCCAAGAGTGGGTTATTACTTACTTATACTTATAATCGACAATCTGGACCTCAAATGTAGATACCGTTTTCAGTGCATTTACAAGCTGGGAAAATAAGAGAAACCTTTAGAATTTCTTTTCCTTCCTTCTCTTCTGTTTTACTTACCTTGGAGTCTCCAAATTTTTATTTTTCATACAAAATATTTTTCAAGCGTTAAATATCCTTCAGGTCTATTGTGTTTAACCCTTAACTGAGTTCAAGTGCAGGCTCCACGCCTGCATTTTAGGGAGGATACGCTACCTCCCTAAAATTGCACTGCTCTGAGTTGCTATGAGGCCGCGGGGTGACAACTCATAAGAGCAAAGGGCTTGACATAGACGCACATGAGGTGTTAGCTATTGTTATTCCAATAGTTAGTCCCTCAACTTTCAACATATATTCGTTGGGTACCTACTTTGCTCCAGAATTTTCTTCCTACCCATTATCTCATTTCAGACAAACCCCTAGTGCTTTGGAAACTCATCCACCGAAAATACTAAATTCCGGGCAGAAATAATATTTTCAACATCTCTACGCAGGAAAACTATACTTTTAGCGAAGAGAAAACAACTAAGTACGATTAATCGATCATCGAATGCATCGTCATGGTTCTCTATGTCCCCCACAATTCTAATCTTGAAGCAGGGCAGGATTGCATGAACCATCATTTAATGAGAGCATCTGGGTTTTGCTATCTATTCACGAGTCAAGGAAAAGAGAAAGGTGCTTTCTTCTCTGCCTGGGAGCTGCCTCTCCAAGAGACGCCAGTCCTGGGAGAAAAGCAGCCAGTTGGGCGCTCTTTGGCTTGGTATTGGAGCTGAATTACCAAATCCCACCTTTGGGCAAGAGCATCCGGGCGATCTGCGGAGCTGGATCTGAAAACGTCGATGGCTGCAGCGCAGCACCCACTGATGCTACCCTTCCACTGGACTTCTTTCCTGCCCCTTCCCGATGGACTGGGAGGCAAAGTGGGTCGGTCTCCTCCAAGATCAAATTGTGTTAGGGCCGTGGAGCGCTCTGCTGAAGACGCAGGCTCAGACCCTGACGAACCTGGCTCACCCCTCATTACTCTGCTCATTAGCTGGGTGACCTTGGGCATGTTTTTTAACCTATAAGCCTCAGTGTCCTTGTCCAGAATAGAGAATAATAATAAAATACCTATATCTTCGGTTTGCTGGGAAAGTTGCCGTACAGGTATGGGGAGCACATAGCAATATACTTGGTACATAATTGCAGCCAATACCCGTTACCTCTATCAATACATACTATTGATCTGCCTGCTAATGAGGCTTCTCACCTGTCTACCCCAACACTGCATTACATGATACTTTTACTTCCAGGTGTTTAAAACACACATACGTACACTGTTCATTTCTTTCATCCACACGGCTCACAATCAATGCCTCGTTACACCATATGTTCATGTCCTCCATAATCCATATGCATCTCGAGAAGAGATGCTAATTACATAATTTGGATCAGCCTGTTAGGCATCCAAATTAATTTGTGTGAAACATTTTACCCATCAAAACCTGCCCCCAATTTCCCTCCCATCTCAAGTCCACTGAACTGCTTAAGCTAAAAGCCCAGGAGTTCACGCTTGATTCTCACTACCTCTCCTGGCCGTACCTGTGGCTATAACTGTACATTCCCACAACAAGTATCATAGGCTTTATCTCCAAGATATATCCTGAAACCACTTATTTTGTCATCCCTACTGTCACCCCCTTCATCTAAACTCTTATCGGGGCAATGGCTCTTAATCAATCTCCCTACTCCTACTCTTGCAGCCAGAGTCATTTACAAATAAGTAAGTCAGCTGCATCTCTCTCTCTGTGTCTTCATTTTTATTTGCTGCTGTGACAAATTACTACAAACTTATCATCTTAAAACAACACAATTTATCCTCTTATGGTTCTGTAGGACAGAAGTCCTACACAATGAGATAGAAGCCTCACTGGGATGAAATCAAGGTGTAGGCAGAGCTGCACCCCTTCTGGAGTCTCTAGGGGAGAATCCTTGCCTTTTCCAGCTTCTAGAGGCCATCCACATTCGAGTAAACCTTACTATTGCAAGGACATCGTCCAGTCATGCTGTTGTAGGGAGGCTTCCATGGTGATCTCCTTGAGATTAAGTATAATTTATGAATTGATGTTGTTGAAATGAGTCAGGGAGGCTAAGAGGTGAACAATTTCTAAGACACCCATGAAAAGGATGGAGACTTTTCCAACTTAATCTGCTGCTGGATGCCACAGTCCTGCCACAGTCCATCAGCCATCTCCCCAAAGATACTCTCCCATTGTTTTGCTGCTAGTTTGCCCAGAGACAAAAAATTTGGCAATCCATGGCAGCAGAGGCGGGACTCAAGCAGTTTTGTCTCTGTTTCCACACTGAGGTGGTGTAATGAACGTCTACAGTAAGGCAAAGCTCATTCAGCAATGGATGGTTTGATGACTTGCAATAGAAATCCAATAAATAAAATGGGCACAGCCATCAGACTTTGCTAAAAGCTAATAATTTCAAATCAAAGCATTTAGTATGATGTGAAAAAAATAAAGCACATCAGTCACAGGAAGTGAAATTCAATATGACGCTATAAAAAAATGCATCCCCAAAACTAACCTCATTTTGGTTGAGTATTTTCCGGTACTCTGTGCTCCGTGCGAGAATGGTGACTCGAATTTTTCCGTCCTGTGGAAAAGGCAAAATAATGCTGTGTATGCCGGGACAGATAAATCAACAACTGAACTTAAAATGTGATTTTCACCGAGAGATGAAACTCAATAAGGACACCTTTATGAAACTTTTTTTTTTTTAGCCTGATTTCTTCACAGTTCTCTCAGGGGATAAAAATGCATCCACTTTAGCCACAGAAGGCAAAACCCGTTCATTACACTACTTGTTTTTGGTTGGTTGGGTGGATTTGAGGGCAGAGCTTATGTGGGCTGGGTAGGAGTTTGAGGAAGGATGGAGAGATACAGGGAAAAGAAAAGGAAAAGAAAAAGAGAAAAAAACACATTCTTCCACTATCTCTTAGTTTACCGAAATTTCCTCGGTTGTTGACATCTGATTTCAAATCACTCCAGGTCAGAAAACAACCCAGAAAACATTGTCTGCTGATGATCTCCTTTTTCTGCAAAGCTGGTATTGATTTTTATTCGGGGTGAAAAGTCAAGACCACCTCAGAACCCATAATGTAGTCATTACCTTGGGACCCTCTTGTGTGATGTTCAGTCTGTGTAGTACATGCTGAGAAAATGCCTGGAATAATCCGGTATTTTGACAGCCAGATATCTAAAATAAAAAAATATTTCCTATTACAATGAATAATATCTGCATTACTATTTAAGATGTTCTCAAGTTGTAAGTGTAAGTCTAAGTTATATGTAAGTATATGTAAAATCCATCAAGAATAAATTCTCTGAATGGGAATGTTAACCACAGATGACATGCTTACCAGCGGGGTATTATAGAACAGCCCGTATCTCATCCGGGGGAGTAAGGAAAAAATAGCTTCTTTAAAACATACCTAAGAATGAAGATATTTTAAAAGGTAAGAGAACACAGTTTGCACCCTTCACACCAAAACAGCACTAATAATTACAGAAAATAATTTAATTAATCTCTATTTTGCATCAAAATATTTTGCATAGCCAATTGTTTCACTCAAGTGAAATTCATATTCCTGAAAAAGCTATGAACAAAAGGTTTTAAAAGCTACATGGTTAATAACCATGATGATTCTAGTTATTACAAAAGAAACTGAGTTAGAAATCAATGGTAATAGCTCATAGAAACTCAGATTAAATATTTATTTGATGAGTGAGTCATCTGTAATGACAGTTATTTACAGACATTTCAGTAAAGTTTTCAGTACCCTTTTGGAATCATAAGTTTTCAAATGTATAACATCATAATCAGTAAATGCTTTCCATGTATCGGAGAACAGGTCACCATATCCGTAGGAGCTCTGAAAATGGAAACAAAATAAGTTAGGGAATTTGGCTAAACTTGGCTTTTCAAAAATGTGAGAAAATACCTGAATTAGCTTCTTAGTATTAAGAACCAGTAATCCGAAATAAGCTCATAAAATCCATAGGAAAAAAAAATGGATTTTCATCTTGGGCCTGAGCAAGTCCCTAATCTGATGTAATATCATCAGAAATAATCACCACAATTATAATCTTAGCTTTCCATCCTAGCCTTTTTTCTTCTCATGTCCTTAAAATTGCAGTCATTGTGGGGGGTTTTCCCCCGTGAATTTTCTATCCAAATCACAGATACACACAACACATATGTACACCACCTTCTGTACACACTGTGATATGCTCAGGGAGCAAAACCCATCAGAGCAGACAGAATACACTTCTGGAAAGAAATCTGAGAGCAAGAAAATGCTTTGAAAGTTTTAACATTAAAAACATAATGGGGGCTTCCCTGGTGGCGCAGTGGTTGAGAATCTGCCTGCCAATGCAGAGGACACGGGTTCGTGCCCTGGTCTGGGAAGATCCCACATGCTGCGGAGCGACTAGGCCCGTGAGCCACAACTACTGAGCCTGCGCGTCTGGAGCCTGTGCTCCGCAACAAGAGAGGCCGCGATACTGAGAGGCGCGCGCACCGTGATGAAGAGCAGCCCCCGCTTGCCGCAACTAGAGAAAGCCCTCGCACAGAAACGAAGACCCAACACAGCCAGAAATAAATTAATTAATTAATAGAAAAAAAACAAAAAAAACTGATTAGACCCTTTGTAAGTTTATTAAAAAAGAAACATAATGAATGTAACTCTAGGAAATGATGTCCCTATTGATTAATGAATAAAATAATTCCCCATTGACATTAATGAGTAATAATAATAACTTTTAAAATTTATTTATTTATTTATTGGCTGCGTTGGGTTTTCGTTGCTGCACGTGGGCTTTCTCTAGTTGTGGCGAGCAGGGGCTACTCTTCGTTGCGGTGTGCGGGCTTCTCATTGCGGTGGCTTCTCTTGTTGCGGATCACGGGCTCTAGGCACGCGGGCTTCAGTAGTTGTGGCACATGGGCTCAGTAGTTGTGGCTCACGGGCTCTAGAGCGTAGGCTCAGTAGTTGTGGCACAGGGGCTTTGTAGTTCCACCGCATGTGGGATCTTCCCAGACCAGGACTCGAACCCGTGTCCCCTGCGTTGGGAGGCGGATTCTTAACCACTGTGCCACCAGAGAAGTCCCAATAATAATAACATTAATAGTATCCTGCATACTTCCTACATCTCAGGCACTGTTCTAAGAACTTGACATTATTAACACATTAAACCACCCCACTAACTTAATGAGCGAGGGAATACCATTATCCCCATTTTACAAATGAGGAAACTGAGACAAAGTTTAAGTAATCTGCCTCAACTGTAGAACTGCTGCGTTTACAGGGCTGGGATTAAATCCAGTCTCTTTGGTTCCAGACTCCATGCTTGTAACCTCTACATGGCAGTTGCCTTTCGATGAGAACCAGTTTTTTCTGGCACATTTACCAAATGCATTTCATTTTTGAAAAGTAGAAATTAATTACGTGCTCCATCAGCTGAAGGAAGGAGGTCCATTTATTTCGAAGTGGTAGAACTTAGATGGAAAAATTCAGCCAAAAGAAGTTAAGAAATACGTATTGTACGGTTACATGCAAGGTCTACAGTTGGTTATACATGGCGTTCATTATGTTCATGTCTTTTTATCTTTACAGCACTCTTTTTTTTCAGATTTTGAAAATTTTATGTTGCACATATTAGAGTTATTTCAAAGTTATTGAGAACTGTTAGATGTGGTGATAAAAAATAAAAATTCTTTCCTTCGATGTTTCTCCAGTGCTGTTCTAATAAAGGCCCTTCTCAACACCATCAAAAGTTGAATATCCCAGTTTTGGTTCAATAATAAATAAAGGACAATTAAAAGAAGTGATTCTAGACAGTTTCCTGAGAAAAAAATACTTGGGATAAAATAAGATACCTTTGAAAGGAAAATTTAATAATAAAATAAAGTAATGCTGACTGGTCCCTTTTCAGAGAAATCATGTAGTATATTCAGTCATAACCACCTCTAGAAGCTTCCTCTCTAGAAGTCCCTGAAGTTCAAATTATCTGCCACAGGGGAAGGAGGGGTTTTCCAGTCTTATGATGAAGAATATCTGGATGTTCTTAAAGATGACATAAAATTCCCTGTTGTGTATATCTCAAACTTGAACAACCTATGACTTAGAAATTCCAGTTATAGGAATCTGCCCTGCAGAAACGCTAGGATGACTATGTAAAGACATACGTATATGAAAAGGATGTTCAGGACAGCATTTCCGTAAAGAGCAAAGAACTGGAAACAAATTAAATGTGATCAGCACTACTGCCACACAACACCTCACCACCATCCCCCTCCAAGCTACAGGATTCTGTGGGCCTCAGTTCTGGAACAACCTGGCCCTCACCTGTCCTGAGACCCTGACTGAGCAACGAGCAAAGCCCTCTCTGACCAAGAAAACAGGTTTAAAATGGACGCACAGAGAGGGGCAGAGGAGGGAGGTCACACTAGGCAGGCCAACCTGCTCGGCTAAATGCATCCTGCATGTCCAGGGCAGTCGAAGTCAGGCTGCACTAACATCACACACCCAGTAAACTGAGCAACCAGGGAGCCCTGCGGTGGCCATGCGGTCTCTTCACTCCACCCAGCAGGCACCAAGAAGGGGGAGTTCGTAGAAGCTGGCTCAGTTTAACTCAATCCACTAGAGGAAGCCACAGAAGAGCATGCAACAAGATACAAGGAAGCTTCTGGAAAACTTTCCATCAACTTAACAAGTTCTGCAGGGAAGTACAGGGAGGCGATAAAGCACTGTGGCTGCAGGGCACAGGTCTGGGGGCAGACTGCCTGGACGGGCACCCTTGTCTCAACCCCTGGCTGACTGTTTCATCCTAGAGACACGGCCTGCCACTCAAAGCATCAGCTTCCTCATCTGTAAAATAAAGGGACAAAAACCCTAGTCCACGGAGGGTTGTGCGCATTAAATGAGAGCTGCCAATAGCTGGTAACGTGGCCTGAAAGCCACAATTTTACTCAAAAAGAGGAAAGGAAAGGAACTTCTGATCCGTTTGCTCCCTGAAACATTGCCCAGAAATGGAAGTGAGGTGGCAGCAAAACTGGAACACAAGAGGGAAACGGAAATCCGTACAAAGGAGACTAAAAGGGAGCATTAGCATGCCAGGAATATCAGAACCCGTTCCCATCAATCAGACATGAAGTCAGACTACTACCGGCCTAGGGAGCCATGGTCATGAAAACCTCTCCACACAGCTCCGCTACCAGCCTCCTAGCAGCAAAACAAGCATTAGCAAAACCAGTTGCCCTTCTGCACAAGAACCTGACGTTCAGTTAATGCTCTAGCTCCACTCTCTGGAAACAAGACACTACGTCTCCCCTATGCTCTAGGTAGCACTGTTTATAATTTTAAAAGACACCCGATGCGTACATTGCATATGGACTGGGGAAGAATACAAGGACTCCTGTAACTGGTTGTGTCTCTCAGGATCCTGGGGGGTTGGCCAGCGCAGCTGCTCCAGAAGATATTGGCCCCCATGGGATCTATACCTGCCCCAGGTGGATCCCGTTTCCATGCATCTGAACTGTGCTATGCGGGCTGCTAGGACTCCCCGGAAGCAATGCCTGATGCTGCCCTGCCAGCAAGCCATGGTTCGTTCCCCTGCACTAGCCTTCCAAACAGACTCAGGACAAGAAGGGGGCCTAGAAGCGCCCTGGGTGTTGGAAGGTCTGGCTGACCCTGAGATGAGTTCTCCATGGGTGTTCTCACTGCCCAGGTTAGGCAGCCCTTTTCGTGTACACTATACACCACGTGTTCTCCTGCCCACTGTCGCTGTCATGGTTCACATTCAGAGGCCATGTGCTGTGGACCAGGCATTGTGACTGTTCGCACACGGTATGCTTCATCCTCAAAATGACACTGTAATAATCCCATTTCACAGGTGAGAGCACTGGGGCAACTCCCCGGGGTTACCTGGGACGGTGGAGGGGCCAGCTATGGGGAAAAGCAGGGGAAAGGCAGGCAAAGAAAGAGAGGAAGGAAGAAAAGACTGCACTAAAAACAAATAAGCCCAGAGCAGGTGGGATTCAACACGTGTATTTATGTGCAGATACACACGGCACAGCCTGGCATAAAGCAGGAAATAACAAGGAAGCTGCAATGAAGCAAAACGGATGGTAATTATAAGAGGCCAAACTGTAAACAGAGGCAAGCTCTCCTCTCATGGGTCATGTGGGGAGTCACGGAGGTTAAGTGAATGACAGTCTTTTATGCCCAACTCAGAGGAAACTTGAGCTCCACCTGCCCAAAGGGGGAAAGAAGTCTTCCACAACCTCATTCTAAAATTCCAGGAATAAAGGTATATGCACACACCTGTATCTGCCCACATATTATACCTACATGTAAATTCAGCCACACAGAGGCGTTCACACACAACTACACACGCATGGATGTGTGTCTGTACATGAGTATATGTAAATGTGTGTGTCTTAGAAAATTCCACTACACAAGATCAGAGTCACACAGGTATTAAGCAAGGCAAAGACAGCGCTGAAGCAGGGAGCCTCTTTTTACTCACTGTGTCCCACATCACAACGTGCACATCTGTGCTGAAGGAATTATTAATGTGCTGAGTAATATAAAGATTGATGAAATCACAGAAGTGGTGATACATGTTAACACCTAGGATTGGAAAAAAGAAATCCATGTTAATTAACTCCAAGGAACAAATGATGACAAAATTTTTATTCTACCCCATCTACTTATAGTGTGATAGACTTGTAGCTGAAACCAGTGGGGGGCAAATTAAGAGTTTTTCCAAACCTAAAATGATCAGTACACAGGTAGTTCTCAGTTGACAGACTGACTGTTCAAAAATGCACTTTCAAATTGGAAATTAGGAATAAAGTTTCCCATATACACTAAGAAACAAATGATCATTACATTCCCAGAAAAAATAACAGAAGCCTATTTAACTCAATATGGGGTAGAACTATAGAACCGTGAAGACTAATCACTATGTTTATGATCATTTATTGTTTTTAAATCAATTGACACCTGGTCATCATGGAAGTATTGACAATGATGGCACTATTAACATTTTGGTATTTTTCATTCCTGTCTCTTTTTCTCCTATTTAATCACTACTTATATTGCTTCTTGGGAAAACATTAACCAACTATCATTGAAAAGAGCTGAATGTCTCATGTCCTAATTAAAAGAGCATAAACTCTGGAGTCAGAAGAACTGAGTCGAATTATGAGCAAGTACTCAAGCAAGTTTGTAAATTCCAAAGCGTGAGCTTTCCTAGCAGAAATAGGAAATCAATATACTTAGGTGCCAGCCTTTAGGTAATGTACCTAAAGTACCCAGCCCAGCGTCTGGCACAAAGTGAAAACTTAGTGAAGACCAGCTGGATCCTGCTGGGTCAGAGGAAAGGGGAGGGCAGTGATGCTATTTTTAAGTTCCTAAGTCCAGCATTCATAAGAAACTGAATATTTTCTCAATCTCTCTCTCTCTCTTTCTCTTTCTCAGTCTCTCTCCCTCTCTCTCTGTCTTCTGCCCTCTCTCTCTCCCCTTTCTCTTTCTCTCTCCACTTAGGTATGGAGGACCCAGTATTCAACCTGGAAATGTACAAATCTAAATGGGATAAAATTCTAAGAACTAACATTTAAAATATGCACTTTAAAGAAGGGAAAATGTTGATTAAAAGAAAAACAGTGACTCTCAAAAGCAGAAATCATAAAATATTCTGACTTTATTCCTACAGCAAATAATAACGTTGTGTGCCAGAAAATAAGAGTAAAAGGGACTCCATTTATGCAAGTCAGGTCATTATGCTATACACCTTTAACATATAAAGTGCTGGATGTCAATTATATCTCAACAGAGACAAGAAAAAAGAAAATAATACTCCGTTCTTTTTAGACTGGTATCTTAGATGAATGTTTAGAGGGACTTTTCTCTTTCACCCAGAAAAATCTTGCCAAAGAGCATATTTTCAAATAAATAAGAAAAAGAAAGTTCTACGGCAACCCATCCCCTTTTCCCAGGTTAGCAGACAGCACACGTTAGCTGTCTCATGAATCGTTCAGAAAGTTTATAACATTTATTGAGGGATGCTGAATGCACAAAATAGCACTTGGTACCAGGAGGATTTATAAAAGAGGGAGAAAACACAGGCTCTGTCCTCAAGAAATGGGCCCCAAATGAGTTTTGTTCTGTGGAATACTCATTCTCTCAAGGTAAGAGTTAATATGAAAAGGAACACTGGATGACAGCATAAGGTAGAAGAAAAAGGCAGAGTTATGAGTATAGGAAAGAAATGACACATGTATACCCTGGCTTATTGTTCCTACTTTACATCCTTATTGCATAAGTAGCTACATAAATTTAACTGTTTCGCACATGTTCAACCCTTTTTCAGGCAGATCAGTGTTTTCTTTGCCCCGTTTTAATCTGCATATTTTAAAAATGAGTCAGGACCTTGAACACAGCAGTTTTACCTGCTCTCATTTCCAAAACCTAAACTTGTCTGATTTCTGAAGCTCATACTTTGTAATATATCACTTAGGACTTCAGAAGGCAGAGCACATTAAAAATATGATGAATACATTAGAGGAATTCTGAAATATTTGTGGCAGGCGGCTCTCTATATTCCACCTTGAGCCCAGCATCTCATGAATTTGGATGCGGTGCGGCATAGAAACCTCCATCTCCTGTAAATGAGAGCAATAACAGAGTACGATTTGTGCTGCTCCCCTCCAGGGCAATGAGTCCACAAAGCAAAAGCTGTGTTTACATCTGGAGAATTAGAAGCTATAATCTTAAGTAGGAAAATAATTTTAACTTTTTTTTTCGAGCATATATGGCAGGGCTTCCCCGGTGGCACAGTGGTTGAGAGTCCACCTGCTGATGCAGGGGACGCGGGTTCGTGCCCCGGTCCGGGAAGATCCCACATGCCGCGGAGAGGCTGGGCCCGTGAGCCATGGCCGCTGAGCCTGCGCGTCCGGAGCCTGTGCTCTGCAACGGGAGAGGCCACAACAGTGAGAGGCCTGCATACCGCAAA